TAATTATTAAATCCTGACATGTTTAACTATTAGTATTCGATTTGTCAAATGATAATGTTAATACGTTGTTTGACTCTGAACTGTTGATTACTTTGTGTGAAGTTCTTCTTTATTTTAACATAATCATCGAAGTTCTTTTGAAAGATAACTACTTTTTTTTATTGTTAAAAAATAATAACAAGTAGTCAATTAGTTCTGTTGAAAAAAACAAATATGGTCGAAATGCCGGCGCTTTACTTGACCGCTAAGAAAACAACGTGTGGAAGGTTGATAGATCATAATTAATCCTAATAAAAACAATAAGTGTGCATTTAAAATCAATATCGGCAATTTCAGTTCATAATTGATCCCTATAACAACAGTTACCCGGGTCTCATAAAATATTTCAATAGTCACATTGTTTCTAAATTTCGTGTTTACACCTAAATTTCTCAAAAATAAATCTAGCTTGGCTTCTCTTTGATCAGAAATACTTTTTAAAAACATTGTCATTTGTTTCTTCTGTTCATTATTGTTTCAAAATGTGTAGTAAAACAGACTTTTTGCATTGGGATGGGGATATCAATCTCGATTTTTTATTTGATTGTGATTACACTGATGTTGATGATGGCGATTGTTCCGACGACGATGTGCCGTCAACACCATCAAAGATGGCTAAAACTGCAATTGCTGACTCAAAGCCAGTTTATTCCTGCCCTACGTGTGCAAAACAACTTAAGACTGTCACCGGTTTCCGTGGGCATATTAGAGATTAGTATAATAGTCCCAGGTTTCTGTGAGGAAATTTTCTTGGTAAGAAACTATACCTTTATTTTAAGAAACTGTACAAAATTTGCAAATTTGCGGCATGTTAATGTTTATCGTTGACACTTTAGGATCAAGAGTCTAGACTCTAGAGTCGAGTCTTTCAAATAAGGGATCATCTCTAAAGTTCTTATTTTATTATTCTTTACTCTGCACATCAATAGCTCTTCTAACATTGATTCCAATAAATGTATAAAAAACATTGAGAATGAAGGTCTCTCCACCTTTTCTATTATGATTATTGGTTGGTTAATTGTTTGATAAAATGTTTGCAATATCAAGTGGCAAATTATTTATATAGATTGGTTGGAAGGTATACCCTACTATATCAGTCACATTCAGGACCGATAACTCAGTCGATAAATATTGGCGGGTATAATGTTGAAATGTATGCGATTACATATTTTCGTACACAAGTTAAAATTCAATATCGATTTTTTTTAATGCCTGGATTTTGCTTAAAATATTGAATTAAAAAAAAAAAATAAAATGACAAAAATCATATGCAATGAAGTCTCGTTTAATTTTTTTTATGAAATAAAAAAACTATTCAATATAAAATTTGAATTAGAGTATTTCTTCAAAACCATTATCGTGAAACATTAATATTTGATTAATTTTTTATAAGCAAAAATCAACTTATCGAAGAATTTTTCATAATATTCATATTTTTTTAAAGTTTTTTTATGATATATATGTCTTCGGTTGTGTACACGGGGAAGAGAAAATATTTATTTGTACATTTCAGAAAACGTTTGTATATCACAAAATCGAAACTCTGGAAATACATGTGTACACAGGATGTTAATGTCACCTGGTGGCTTTTGGTTTGACACGATTCCTTTACATTACAAGACAATTTGTTGTTATGTAACATTATAACTTAAATCCGAGTTCACCTTTTCGTCAAGGGACATAAACTTTAAAAGGTACAGAGCATTTATCTATTGTTGGGCATTATTTTTTTTCTCTAGAGACGAAATCATTTTTTTCTGAAAAGAATATATATATTTTTCTAAATAAAGATGAATTATACAGAAAAAAGGGAAAAAATCTGAAAAAAAAGTGAAAAATAGTTACCAGTCCTATTCTAACATCGGACTCGGACTTCTTTTAAACTGAGTTTTACTGTGCGTATTGCTATTTGTTTCTTTATTCTACATTTGCTAGAGGTATAGGGGGAGGGTTGAGATCTCACAAAACAAGTTTAACCCCGTCGCATTTTTGCGCCTGTCCAAAGTCAGGAGCCTCTGGCCTTTGTTAGTCTTGTATGTTTTTTAATTTATTAATAAGTTCATTTACATGTTTTGGAGTTTAGTGTGACGTCCATTTTCACTGAACTAGTACACAATTTTATTTAGGGGCCAGCTGAGGACCACCTCCGGGTGCGGGATTTTCTCGCTGCGTTGAAGACCCATTGGTTGACTTCGGCTGTTGTCTGCTCTTTGGTCGGGTTGTTGTCTCTTTGACATATTCCCCATTTCCATTCTCAATTTTATTATTATAAATTTCAGTGTTAACTATTTTCTGGGAACAGTATATCTTTCAAAATATATGTTCCTGCTATTTTTTTCACATCATACTTGAAATAATTTATTTTTTATCAAAAAAAATTTAAATCAAGAAAGAAAATAGCAGAAACAGCCCAGATTCTGCATGAAAAATACACGATGATTAAAGATACACGCGACACTTCCAAACACATCCGCCATTTTCCGAAAAATCACTTTTTTAAATCGATGTGGGACGTAATTTGCCCTAAAATTAAACTGTTTTAAGTTTAGAATATTTCGCCAGATATATGTTTTAATATTCTCAATCGAGTTGCAAAGTATTACTTTTATTTACGGAATTTGTGAATTTGATGAATAAGTAAACATGGGATCGCTAGATTTACCATGGCGTCAACGGTGAAATGACGAGAAAAAGTACGATTTTTACGAATCTCCAGGGACGTAATTTTATAAAGAATTTAACTGTCAGAACCAACATTTTTAGGTAGAATTATGTTCGAATACCAAGGATATAGTTGCAAAAGTTAGAAAACGGGTCAGATTAATGAGAAAATTGAATTTCATGATGATGGAAGTGTTTAACGACCTTTACTGGCTTTACAGCCCTCGCACGGTCGGCTCCGTGCCCGAAGGCGTTTGGTGAGCATTTAAATGTTTTTGTTGTTGTCAAGCTGGAACAAGGCGGCCATTTTGGTTTTGCTGGATTGATTTGGTTTTTTACTATTGTTGTTTGGTTGCATTCTTCTTCATTCACAACGGCTGCTTTCAGGGCCAGATTGGTCAACTTAGCAGCCCGCTAACCACGATGATGAAGTACTGGTCGATGGGTCTCGGACATAGTAATAACGATGACAGGAAGCTTTATCAGGACCAAAGTCGAAAGTAGAAGGTGGAATGGCGGTCCATTATCCAACACCTACAATACAGACCCTCGGACGTCAGTCGGCATACTTTGTCCCCCATTATGGGTGTTACGGACCATATGCTAAGGGTATTTACGCAAAACAATAAGTTTATGAACGTACTGTACAACGTTGGATTAATGGTTTCTGTCATCGAGAGTAGCAAGTCGTTGATCCATCTATCAGTAAACCAACATCGTAGATAGCGGGTAAAGAGGAGCTGACCCAGCACGTCCTTTCAGTTGTAATGACTGAGACGTGACTGTGATGGACTGATTGATTGAACTTCATGATGATGATGGAAGTTTTTAACGACCTTGACTGGCTATACAGCATTCGCACGGTCGGTTCTATTGAACTTCATTGAGGCACCTATGCAATTTATATGGGACAAAATGACACAAAATGGCGGCTCGCTACGTCACCAAAGTCACGTGATGTCTTACTCAGTTGGATATGAGTCATTTTATTAATATCGATGCGTATTGGCTTGGTTCGTTTGCTGATTGAATGATTATTGATTAATATTGTTATAACGTTAAGAGATGCATATTTCATATTAATTAATTTATAGTCAATGTGACGTCCAGTGACAAATATGTAACGCATATTCTCCGCTCACAGAATATTTAATGCCCACCCTTCTTTTTCCTCGAACTCGATCCTCAATTGTTCGTATACATAGGGCTGGCTTTCTAGAAGATAAAAAGGAAGGTTCTTGATCCCCTTTAATTACACGTGTTCAGGTCAGTTCAACATGTGTATGTATATTTAAATCATGGTATTTATAGGAACATGCAAGGATTTAATATAACTCTTCTTTCCCCTGCAAACACATCCTTGCATTTTCTTTTATAAATTTCAACGGAAACATGTAGGATATGCATCCTCACACAAAAAATATATAACCTTGCATCTTCCATTATAAACATCATTTAAGAATTGTGTAGTGTTTCTCCAGTAATTTACTAAAGCGTCAAATGTCCTATAAAAATAACAAAAAGCAAATAAAAAAATAGAGGCCCTGATCGAAGGATCGTTATGGTATATATTACCCGTCACATAACAACATGCAATATTTTACCGTTAAAGACCCTTCAGTAGCAGATCAAACGGGAAGCGTAGTACCGTAGAGAGCGTTGGATTGGAAAGTGTATGCATCTTTTAGCATAAAATAGTCCAAACATTTGTTTTAGTCCATTTTCTGGAATAACGTTCCCTCTTCAAAATTCCTGGATCCGCGCCTGCCCTGTTTTAAATGATCCATTACAAAAGATATTAAAAGTAGGCAAAAAATTACATTTTATCTTTGTCTTTATTCGATAGCTATGTTTATCTTTCAAATTTCATAAATTAAGAGATATTAAAACTTTTGATAACACTCCTTTTTCTTGCCAGAGAATGTCGCAGAATGTGAGACTGTAGGATGCTTATCCGATGCGGCTACGGTAAAGCTTCATGTTTCGGAAGGGTAAAAGAGCTGGATATCCCATATGTACAGATGCCTTGTAGTCTGATGTTTCCGTCTAGCATATGGCCATTGTCCTTTTTCACAAGATTTGTTTCATTTTTTTGAGAGTATCACGACAACGTTTTGGCCAGACATATAATATATCTCTGATATGGAATTTAGAACACTGCAAGGTATGGAAGTCCGTCAAACAAGGTTCACGGTTCAACTTCAACCTCACCTGACCGTGAACTTATTTCTTGGTTCAGTGATTAACGTGAAGCTTTCGCGATTAGTTCCGTTTCTCAAATACTATAAGTAATTGTTCAGTTATATTCAGTGTATGGAATGATTGTAAGGTGATCATGTCCATATGACAGGGTTAGTCTATTCTCGATCTCATTTTCATATACATGATTCATTGTCCATCGTTTTAAGTTTTCGTGATTATGTCCTTTTCTCAGACACTATACGTAATTGTTCACATTTATTCGGTGTATAGAATTATTGTATGGTGTTTATGTCTGTTTGTCTGACAGTACTAGTGTTCATTTGTACACTATTTGGTGCATTGGTCAACGTTAAGTTTCCATGATTAAGTCTTGTTCTTTTTCAGATACTGTAAGTAGTAAGCAAGCATTATTCGGTATATAGAATTACCGTAAGTCTAAGGTGCACACGTCTGTCGGACAGGATTCATCTGACCTCTTTCATGGTTAATCGATCCAGGTTTATTTGAGTTTCGTGATTGCTCATATACTTTTTACTATATTCAGTATTATATAGAACGATTGTACAGTGTACGTGTCCGTCGGACAAGGGAGGTTGACCTCATTTTCATTTAAATTTGCATACTTCATTTTTGATCAAGGCCGATTGTTGTTTTCTGCTATTTTAATTCTAACGAATGGCGAAAATTGAATAACTATGAACACCATGCAAGTATATAAACGTAAACAATGTATCTGTGTAGGTTACCATTAGAGCACAGTTTTAACTGAAGATGAAGTCGAGAGTATCACGGTTAGCTGAAACAGTTTATTTCATTAGATAGGGAAAAGATATTTCCAAATTAACAGTTTTCCGTGTCAGTCTAATCATGACGATCTAGGTCTGACGAATAAACTTTTTTTTTTAATATTGTGACTTTTATTTTGCGTTCAGTCTAGCTTCAGAACGGATGGCGATCATCTTTATATCACGAGCTTGTTCCCTGTCAATAGGTTGTATTTTATGTCTCTTGTCACACTTCGTTTCATATAAATTATATTGTTTTAATTCAACAGTAAACACAGACACAGTACCAAAACGACTCGAGAGAGTCCATTGTTACACCAGTATTCAAACAGAGAGCAAAACTATAGGCCAATCTCCCTAACCTGTAATCTTAGTAAACCATTAGAACATATAATTGTATCATCTATAAAGAAACATCTAGATAATTATAATATACTATATCCACTGCAACATGGTTTCAGATAAAAAGTGGGCTGTGAAAAACAACTACTAACATTCACTCAACAAATACTAGATATACGGCAAATGGTATACAAACTGACGCAGTTGTTATCGACTCTTCCAAAGCATTCGATAAAGACTTAAAAATTAAACGCATGTGAATAAAAAAATAAAACATCAGACTGGATAGAGGCATGGCTATCTTACAGATTTCAAAAAGAGGTAGTTGGCCGTCACACATCAAATAGTTGTGCTGTATTGTCAGGCGTCTCACAAGGCTCTGCCGTTCTTGGCCCATGTATTTTCCTAGTTTACATAAATGACATCCTAGACAACCTCAAAAGTAATGTTCGCCTCTTTGCAGATGACACCATTGTGTATCTAACAGTGTCATCTCTTAAATTACTGACTGTCAACAAAGCAAGAAAGCAAAAACATATCATTTTTAATTTTCACTACATGATCACATATTAAAATCAACAGACAAAGCAAAATACCATAGTGATACCATACAAAAGATCCTTCATGGAGCTCGCATATAAATGACATCACGAATAAAGCAAATGCATCCCTAAGATTTATTAAAAGAAATGTAAACACCAACAGCATAAAAACTAAAAAACTTACTTACAAAACATATTTCAGACCAAAAGTAGAATATTGTAGTGTTGTCTAGGATCCCTGACAGAAACAACAAATAAAGAAAATCGAAATGATTCAGAGAAGAGCTGCCACGTATACATTAAATAAATACAGCTACCGAAGTAGTGTAAAAGCCATGCTTGGACATCTAAGCTGGCCAACACTACAACAAAGAAGAAATCTTGCATCAGTCACCATGCTCTACATTTGATTTTTCTTCTTTTAGCTGCTCTTACTTGACCGAGTACCAGAATGTCCTACCAAATTAATTCAAATCAAATATTTTATCATTCCAATCATGGTCCAACAGGGTTTGGCTTTTCTCATTGACAAAGGCCGAACGTTGACCTGCATGTATAATTGCTTTATCTTCGTCGGGAGATGCACGTTTGAGCTAATTGGTGTAACATTGTAAAAATATGTAACGTTTGGGCAAATGGCAAGTCGACTTTTGGGCTCAATATTTAGCCCAAATGTCATGCGCCCTCTTCGTCATATGAACTTTTGTGGAAAGTTGTCTCGTTGGCAATCATACCACAGCTCCTTATTTCTATATTATAACAAGAACAAACATGAAATAACATACATTATGCGTTTATTACAAACTAAAATTAGTTCCAACAAATAGTTATAAATAAATGCCAAGCGTCAATGAAAGTTAATCTTTCTTCATCAAAAACCTTCCGGTTCTACGCGCCCGGTGACCAGAAATATCAAATTTTTTGATTATCAAAGTAAACTGTTTTGTTCATATAATAATCGAAAAATAGGACAACTTAGTGACAAAGCATTAGCTACGAGATATAAAAAAAAACTATTAAAATATGATTTTGTTTTGTTCAATCATTAATGAAAGTGAAATAGTGAAATAATAATTCGCTTTTAGCAGCCAGTATGGTTCAATTTTTCAAAATAAGCTGAGAAACATTGCTGATGAATTATTCACTTGCAAGTGAATAATTCGACCTCATTGAATCCGTATTCATGTGACCTTCTATTTAACCCCTTAGCTAGGGATGGGTTACGCATTAACTAGGCGTGTTCAGCTATTAAAAGGAAAAGAATGTCAACATTGAAAGTGAAACAAGGGTAAACTGTTTTGTTGACTGATTCAATCCACAAAAAATCCTTCCTATACAGGTAAAACCATGATTAAAATATTTGTTTAACCTATAGTATGAAATCTACAGACCTAGACAAATCCAATTGCACGTGTTCGCAATCGATTTATATCTATATTTATGTTTATTTCGAGTTATATGACAGTCAGCAGTCTTCGGAGGTCAACTCGATGGTTAATTAGATGGCGTCTAGACTAAAATACACACGAAATGCGGATACATATTATCGATACCATGCATTGTTAATTGTTCATTTTAGACTTTTTGTAAGTTTGATTTCGTTTTAGTAGGTTATAAATCAAATAAGAGGATTTGAGTCAAATCGGTTAACATGCATTTGACAGCTAATGCCCCTTTAATGTTTAAATCGGGACTCCTCATACAGGCGATCTCTTCAAAAACATTTGTTTTTTAATTTGTCAGTTACTAGGCCTGTTCAATTTCTGCTTCCTTCTGTCTGTCAGGCAATTTTTTAATAATGCCCCCTTCGCTGTATATATGTTGGTGAATTTTCTAAAAGTAATAGATATGATATTAAGGCTAATTTTTCTAGCAAATATTGGTTTAAGTAAATATTTGACCGTTAGATTAAACTGGTTCTATATACTTAAAATAAATTGAGTTAAAAACCGCGACGGTTTTCTGAATATGAAGGCCATAACCAAATGCATGGTTTGATTGGTCTTCAAATCGTTTCAGTTTCTGATATAAATTAGATAAGAATAAAGGTAAACATTTTGAAGAATAATTTTCAAACTCGTACAAAAACAATTCAATAAAAGAGAGACGAAAGATACCAAAGGGACACTCAAACTCACAAGTCACAATAAATTTCACTATTTCACACAACGAATTCGTCTTAACCCCTTCGACCCCAATCCCGCCTGTAGTCGTTATTGCAAATGCCACTCTTCATAGCCCATATGACCCCCCATCCAAAGGGCCATATGAGCTATTGTCATCACTTGGCGTCCGTTGTCTGCGTCCGTCATCGTCGTAAACTTTTTTTAAAGATCTTCTCCTCTGAAACTGCTGAACAAATTTCAACCAAACTTGGGGTGAATGATCCTTATGGTATCTAGTATAAAGTATTTTTTTTGTATCCCTGACAGTCAACAACCGCCATGGCTAAAAATAGAACATACTATTAGGGTTAAAATGCAGTTTTTTGCTAATATCCCCAAAACTTAAGCAGTTAGAGCAAAACTGACATGGGGTAAAATGATCAGCAGGTCAAGACCTAGTATTTGATAGAAAATTTTAATATCTTGAAAAATATTTTAGATCAAGAATTTTTCAACAGCAAAATTGTTCAGCAAAGTAAGACCTACCAATAAGTATAAGGACCAAATTCTTCAATTGGTCCCTTATAGGAGTTGTTGTCCTTGAAAGACTTTTGTTTAGTTTTTCAGAAACTAGTTATAGATAGACAGAAACTTTAAATGGCAAAAGGGTTCATCAAAGTAAGACCTACATATAAGTCAACATGACAAAAATTATCAATTGAACCTTCATAGGAGGTATTACACTTGAAAGGCAATTTTTTTTTTTCATTTTTTAAAATCTTTGTGCAGAAGCTATGAAAGAGGGAGATAAAATTTAAACAGCCAAAAATTTTCAGACTTCAGATAAGTCAACAAGACCGAAATCGTCAATTGATCCCCCATAGGAGTTATTGACCTTAAAAGATGACTTTACCATTTTTTGTTTGTTTTTTTGCAGAGACGATGATAGATAGAGAGAAACTTTAAACTACAAAAATTGTCAACAAAGAAAGCATACAAATAAGTCACGTCACCGAAATCACCGATTGATCCCTTATCTGAGGAGTTATTACCATTGAAAGAAGATCTTTACCTTTCTTTTAAAAAGTTTTTGCATGAACTATACTTTTTATTATCTAAGATAAATAATGATTTAAGACATGCCTTTTTAACGATTTAAAAACCCAATACAAATATTTTTCTGATGATAAAATGAAATATATTCTAAATCCAACTACTTGTCAGCAAGTGAAATATTTAGGCTCCATTATTAAACAGTCTATTGAACTGAGGACAGGGGACACTTGAGGTCATTTTTGTGTTATTTGTTTAATATTTTTTTTTTTTTTATTTTGATGTAAATGTAAATGTCATCAATTATATTGTTGTTTATACATGTAATTGTTATGCCTTTAACCCTTTTATGGGTGCATGTAATTTGTGCTTAATAAAGTTATTATAATAAATAGAGAGAATCTTTAAGATGCAATCATTATGAGAAAAGTAATGCCTACAAACTAGTCAAATAACCACAATTGTCAATTAACCCTTATGTTAAAGAGTTATTGCCCTTAAAAGATGATTTGTTTTACCAATGTTTAAAGTTCATTGCAGAGACTATAATAGATAGAGAGAAACTTGAAATGGCATATTTAAACACGCATTTATATACATTAAACAGCAAAATAATCATTGATACAAGATCTGAACAAAACATTCCAGGTGAGCCATTCAGATTCTTAGGAGCCTCTTGTGTAGAACTGTCCCAGCTGAACAGTGTTGACAGCAAGGAGTTCAATCTTGCACTTCAGTTTCCATAAACTCTTTCCAGATATGTTGGTATGAAAAATATGACAACCTTAATACCCTTCTTGGAGTTTAAAATCTTGGAAATCTGTAAAAAGTAGCTAAATCAGGTGGGGTTGGAAGTCATTTAATGGCCACTGCGTTAATGGGTTATGCCTTTGGTATCAACTATTATCCATAATTGATGCATAGGTAGTTCAGGAACACAAGGAGGTATTAAATGAACAAAACATCTGTACAAACTAGGTCACTGGTTGTCAAAAATCTGTAAAAACGGACATTTTGCAGACCTGGACTCCCATTAATAAGTCCCCAGCAAAACAATCAACATTTACTTCCAGTCAGCATGGATGGGTTGCTGTACCTTGCTGACACAGTTTGATCAATGCTCACCTCTCAAGGTCGTATTAAAATAGAAAAATAAACTGAAATAAAAATATTCTGTTCTGTTCTGTTCAATTCTATTTTCTCTTCCCTTCCCTTTCCTTCCCTTCCACCCTTCCCCACCCCACCCCACCCACTCCACTCCACTCCACTCCACTCCACTCTTCTCCACTCTACTCCACCTCCCACTCCACCTCCCACTCCACTCCACTCCACTCCACTCCACTCCGTTCCGTTCCGTTCCGTTCCATTCCGTTCCATTCTACCTTAAGGCAAAAATAATAATAATTTGTTGGTTAAAATAATTAATTATTGATCAATCCTTTTTAAAAATATTCCTTTTAATTTTGAAATCAAGACGAAGTAGGTTTAGATTTACGCATGGTTTACATGCACTAACAAAACAAAAAACCCAAACTCTGTGGGCTAATTCAGAATGAAGGTATTTGTTTGTATACATGTTTTTATAGATACATGTGTATATAGAGACATATTAATATATAGGTATTTAAAAAAAAAAGGGTTGCATTTATGATTATGCCAAATGAGTTACAGTTCTAAAAGCTAAATGAACCTGAAACTTTTTTTCAAAATTTTGAGGTTTGTAAGATTGCTCACAAAATTAAGAATTTATTTTTATGCACTTCGAATTGAAATTTGCAAATACAGAAATTTGTAAGGAAGAAAGATATTTTTGATTTTTTTTAATGATAGATGTCATTTATTTCTGTGGAGCAATCTTGCGTTATATTGATATATGAAATAATGCTAATTTCTAATTTGATCCTTTTAAATGCAAAATCTTAATGGCTGCTCCCTGTAATCAATTTCATTTATTTATTTATATATATATTTATTTTCACATTGGACTATATTTTATGTTAGGGCTTATTTTAACTAACATCGGACAAACCTTTCTGTAATAGTTATACACCGAGGGATAGGTGTGTCTGGATAAGAAACCCCGACGGCCGGAGGCCGGAGGGGTTTCTTATCCAGACACGCCGTATCCCGAGGTGTATAACTAACTTACACCCAGTTCTAAACTCTATATTTGTTAACATTGATTACTAAATGAAAAAGAATGGATAGCATATTTTTTGACAAAATCGAACCATAAATTATAAGAAAAATACTATTTTTTTTTACATGAAACCCCACTAGTAACCTTTCTCTGGCTATGTTCTTTCAAACTTTGACAAGTGAGTAGGTTTTACAAATGTCAAAGTTGCTGTTTTGCATATTCCCGTTAAATCCTGGTGCTAATATGGATCAGAAGTTCAAGGTTGACCGTTTCGTGCATTCTTATCACAAAAAAAAAAAATACATCATGCTCCTTGTATGCAGTTGGTAATATAGAGGGGTATAAGACGGACGACATTTTGAGTCAAGCGTTGGATTTGGTAGAAGAGACTAAAGATAAAGGCAATATTATAACCCAAAGTACTTACCTGTATCAGTTTAATGAAGGTAATCATAAATGTATTTTTTATGTTACGGTTTTTTTTTTTAAAAGCCTCCCCCCCCTTTCTCGAGAATAAACAAACATTCATATTCGGACACACTGAGGGATCATAGGTGTGTCTGGATTAGAAACCCGACGACCGGGATCCAAGGAGGGTGGGGGTCTGGGAGTTAGAATCCCTGTTTTTTTTTAAGATCAATGCTTTAGAATAGAGACATATGACTAAGATCAAAAATTTTACCTTCAAGCAAAGGAGTATTTAGGGAGCAACCATTTTAATTTCAAAGGGTTTTTTTGGGGGGGGGGGGGGGGGGGTATGGTTTTTTGTCGGAGTCAGAAATTTTTTTTCTCGCAAATCGCGAACAATTTTATTTAGTTTTGCAACGCTATCAATCAAATTATTTTTCCCTTGAAGGATTTTTTGTATTAAAAATAGATGCTTAATATTTTTTCGCTATTTAAATTTCCAAAAATGTGTTTTTAGTATCTTGAAACAACTTGTAGTGAACACTATTAGTAATTTCTTATGTTCATGCTTTTTAAAAAATAATCAATTTCTATTGTAATGGATAACAATGGACTTTGTTTTCGGGATGTAGAAGCAGGGGTTTCCAGAAACCCCGCTCGTCACACCCTGTGGTCAAAATCCATTGTTATTCGTAACAATAGATCTATTCAATTTACACTTGTTTCAGAAATAGAAACTATGAAGTATAACAATAGAACTGGGGTGTAACACTTGATTAAGCACCTATTGACATTCCACAGATGAGTACTAATCAGTAGACACATTGTAATTGAAAGGGGTCTCGGTGACCAAGTGATCTAAGTAGTTATTTCTACTACTGTAATCACTAGCCAGTCAACACTGAGGTTGTGAGTTTGAACACCGCGGGTGGACTCGACTCCAAACTTAATTGACTAGAATTGTCAGTTTTCCTATTGAAGGTCGGTGGTTTTCTCCGGGCGCTCCGGCTTCCTCAATCTATAAAAACTGACCGCCACGAAATAGCCCAAAATTGGCGCTTAAAAGTGGCGTTAAAACACCAACAATCAATCAATCAATCAATCATGGTAATTGAATAGAGTACACGCTTGTGCTGAGTTAGAGATGGTTGAAATAGCAGTTGGGGATCATAATTTTTCAGTTGAGGACATGGATATCCGAAGGCTAATTATAACAAGACATTTATTCTTACTTATATGGTACATTGAGGTTTATTTTGCTGTCGAGAGGATATTTCTTGCTCGCGGCCCACAATGTCTAAGCAATTTCTATATTATGCAAATGTAAAGATTACGTAAGTAATGTTTGGTTTTATATTTATTTTGTAGGGTTTTAAGGCCCGGTTTTGGTGTGCATATAGAGCGTTGTAAATACCGTCGACTGGTCGGTGATAAATGGTGTCGGTGATAATTTGGTAACAACTTGATGTTTGCTGATATAAATTACAACGCCTGTAGTCGGTGCAATTATCCGTGTACAAATATGCAAAAGGTCCGTTATAAATATATATATCAAAGAATTAGAGCAGTCCGTGCAGTGTTATGAAGTTTGAAGTCGTTATTGCTCACTGAAGTTATCGTTGAAGTATTATATATAATCTAGTGTTCTCCTCACCAATCATTAGTTAGAATTTGTGAAAATTAGATAAATTCGTTCGTTTTGTGATGAATTGAAATCCAAGGAGAACAACCGGATTTGATATTTCTACAATATCTGCAACTTTCAACATTACCGGGAGGTGTGCAGAATTAATGATGTGAAGACTGTGAAATCATTCAGTTGACATTGTTCGTTTTTGCTTCGCATCACGGTGTGGAGCTATTAGTTTCAGTCGATATACACGCCACCTTGAAATAATTACTTATCACATAAAGATTCTGATTGGTTGCTTTATGATTCGGCTGAGATACAGCAACAGCTATTGGCTTAATGAGATAAAGAATTACAGACTTTTCTCGTCCCAGGATAAGACATTAAATGCCGGAAAATTAACTATGTGTATTTCAGTTCCGATCATTATTAATTCATGTTCGTTTTATTATGCAAATATTGCACACTGAAATTCAATATTGAAATATTAAATTTTTTTAACACCTGTTTATTTGCTTTGTTAATCTGTAATATTCACGATTTGTTTAGCTAAACAATGTTCCTATACAATGTTTACAAAAATGCATTATCTGTATTTTATAATTTCTGCCAATCTGGGCACACCTCCAGAGAGGCACACCTCGAGAGTTGTGTTTTGTAAATGTTTTAAATTTCAACAAGTAAGTCGAATTTTTTTTTAAAAACATGGGTGTATAACGTACATCACTGAACAGCCAGTTTAAAATTTTAGAAAAGTTCATCTTAATATATATACAAAAAATTGATATTCCAAGTCTAAGACATCCATTTTATATCAATCAATATCTAAAAATACCACATTTCCAATACTAAATCAACAACCACATGCACACGTATTACCTTAAATTAGAATAGAGCGAAGCAGTCCACAGCTTTTTAAAAAGGTCAAACTTGTATAACATTATATTTAGTTCCGTTTTGTATGTGTTTATTTAGTTACATTTGTGTTTATTCATTTTATTAGTTCATTTATGATGATTTTACTTTATTTTTGTTATTTTTTATTAAATACATATTTAATATAGTTTTATATAACATTGCATGGCCACTTGACAATCCACAGAACTTACTTCGTTAAAGTCCCTAAACAGCTGTCTTATTTCATTTTTTTTTTAGTTCTAACAGTTTTGATACACTTTTATCTCCTTCGTTAAAAAATTCATTCTAGTTAACCCTAATATATTCATGGTATTGAAACAGTGCCATTTGCTCTTTTCTATTCGAATACTCTTTGGATCTAACAGCTCATATGCAAAGTCTACTGATGAGTCCCTTGCATATGATCACAATCCACACAGTGTAAACGGGACTAAAATATCCAGGCGTAATAGACACTCAATTTATTCATTTCATTTTTGGTATCATTACCAAAATATTTTTTTCTGATATTCTGAATTATTAAATTATTGCTATTTATATTTTGCATTGAATTCAAACCTAAAAAGATTCGATCAAATTTTTATTTTTACTTATAACCTTTAAATATCAGTTTGGCTTTAGGAGTCTAGGGATGATGAAATACCAATGCAAAGCCTATAGCTAAGAATGATTGAAATAGTGCAAATGGTCAAACAGGCACTAAATTTATTCATTGCATTCCCAATATCATAATCGACGTTTTTGACCGGGTCCGCGAAATTGAAAACTGGCTTATATTATGGCGATGTTGAGTCGGGAAAAGTGGGTACCTATTTGTGTAATCAACTCCTATAATTTTTAACCTAGATCCCTGAAATTTCACAGGACGGTTGCACATATGTTGAAGTTGTGCAAGGTCTGTTATGCAATGGTTTCAAACAACAGAAAGTAACATTCCATCGGTAAGGATATTTGGCAGAAATCTAACGAGCAACTTCTCTTTTTTATAGAACATTAACATGGACAAAGTAAGTATTATTCCTATTTACTTTGATATTGCGCCTGCTTGATAACATAAAATAATAAGTAAGTCGGTAACTTTTTTCAACAGAACGAGGTTATTTTGTTTTACCTTCCCTGGTTTGATGAAATAACGACATACATGTATTTTTATTTACAAGCAACAGATCGATACCTCTGCTGGTGGATTGCTAGTCACTGATGATTTAATCAGCTTAGTAATCAGATCATCGGTACTGACATGATTTAAAACATACTTTTCTATAATTCCCCATTAATAAATTAATAGATTATTAATAAACTAAGGTTTTAACCTTCCCAGGCAAAGTTTACCTTAGATGCATTTGTTTCTTTAAAGGTCCCGTTTGGTCACATAGCTCCTAACATATCTTATTATTAACTTTAACAGTATTAACTTTTGTTTTATACTTTTTAATGACAAAACAGTGAACTCAAAACGCACCTCAATGTAAAAAGTGTATCCGACTTATTATTCTACGATTAGATTATTACCAATTTCAGTATTTTCACAAAACTGTTTTCGCAGGCGAAACAGAAATGACATTAAAAAATAAAATAAAAGTATATCTAGTTTCCGAAATTGTCATATTAGTGTGTACGATTATACACGGAAAACCATAAAATTGTCCGTTAATAGATTTTAAAATTATAAGAAACTAAGGTTTCAACTCCCTCAGGCAAAGTTGACCTGAGATGGATTTGACTATTTTTTAGGTACTTTTTGTTTATACAGCTCTTCAACTGTTTCGGTTCTTATATATCCTTGGCTTTCAAATATTCGACTTTGAGCGTTCCTGATGAAGTTAAGTCCAGAAAAGCGCATTGGACGCATGGATTTTATAACGTGTTATTTTCATTATTTTAGAGCACTGGGTGATACCTCTGCTGGTGGACTAACAGTCCCCGAGGGTATCACCGGCTTAGTAGTCAGTACTTTGATATACTGACGTGATTTATGACAAAACTTTAAAATTGTCCGTTAATAAATTTTGAAATTATAAGAAACTAACGTGTCAACTTCCTGAGGCAAAGTTGACCTCAGATGGATTTGACTGTTTTTTTTAGGTCCTTTTTGGTCAACTAGCTCTGCAGCTGTTTCGGTTCTTATACATCCTTGGCTTTCATATATTAAGTTTTTAGCGTTCCTGATGAAGGTAAGTCCAGAGAAGCGTTTCGGACGCATGGAATTTATAAGGTGTTTTCATTTTTTAAAGGAAAAGAAAGAAAATCAAAAGAATTTTGGTATGGAATAAAGAAGAAAAAAGAATATATCTCGAGACGGGTACAGAATATTTGATGAACATTATCTTATAAAAATATTAAGAAATGTACTGCTATTGAATTATTGTATTTCTCTTCTCTAAATCGCCGATACCTTTTCCGAATGCAGTACCCTTAACATAGATACCTTTCGTTAGAACTTCGACACTGCTCAGCGCAAGTGCGAGGGAAAGTTCGTCATTAAAAGAATGAAAACGAACGTGCACTGGAAGGTAAATAGTTTTAATTGATTCTGAAATAAATAATAAACCAAAGCATTTAACAAATGTATCGGCAAAGTTTAATTAACAAATGGAAACGCATAGAAAAAATATAAAAAACTAACATCGCTCTATCAACTCACTTACTTTTCACGTGCTCCATGATTCTGTGTTGACTGTTTATCAAGGTCACGATCCAATAAGCTTCGGCAACAAACCGAAGATTAATTAGCATGTAATCAACACTCACTGTAAGAAATATTTTATGTCGTTTATACATTATTGGTTTATTGGTAATAAATGTAAAGAAAAGTGCTTAAAGGACTTAGTTGAGTATATATGCATGTTTTGGTTCAATAATTTCCTTAACATTACAATTACAAGACACTCGTTTCATGTGACTTTAACTTGTTTATTTTGATTGTACCCTTTATTCGCTTCCATAGAAACCAATTTCCGGTATCGATGATACACAGTGACCACCATACATTTTGTAAAAAATATTTCCGTACTCCATGTATACCTTACAACAAAATTATTTTTATTTACCTGTGTACGTTATTTTATTTGGCGGCATTTTGTCCAAGGTTATGCTGGTCTTTCTGATATTGTTTTACATCTAACCCCCTTGTTTTATTAATTTTGTATTTACATTGTGTCATAGATCAAATTTATTCGTTCAGTGTATGTTCACTTGTTTTTTTTTAATGTCTTTTGATTGAGTTAAGCCATTGCAATTGATATTTTGTAGTGTGTCTTTTTATGTTGTGATGTAACACTATTGTTTCAGGTTAGGGTGAAGGTTGGCACCTATTAAAACGTTTAAACCTGCTGCATTTGTTTGCACCTGTCCTAAGTCAGGAACCTGATGTTCAGTGGTTGTCGTCTGTTGATGTGGTTCATAAGTGTTTCTCGTTTCTCGTTTTTTGTATAGATTAGACCGTTGGTTTTCCTGTTTGAATGGTTTTACAATAGTCATTTTTGGGGCCCTTTATAGCTTGCTGTTCGGTGTGAGCCAAGGCTCCGTGTTGAAGGCCGTACTTTGACCTATAATGGTTTATTTTTACAAATTGTGACTTGGATGGAGAGTTGTCTCATTGGCACTCATACCACAGCTTCTTATATCTATTAGAATATGATTTGGAATTATGCACACAACTCTTCTATTCTTTCCATCAGTGATTTCTATCACTTTCATTGTCGGAAGTACCTCAGAAGAAATACACAATTTCGTGAGCTGAAAATACTTTTTATTGAAATAATATTCTACGTACACATCGTTGTGTTCTGTTTTTTTTTGTCATATGATTTTAGATAATAGAAATTGTGTCCAAACACAAATTTAGATTTTGGGTCATAATTGCTTATCCCAAGTGTTGAGGCTGTCTTGAAATGTTTTACAGGAGTTGTTGTGACCAGCTACAAAAAAGACTGGATCACAGCCCCGACGATGTTTTGATTTGTTGCTTAGACACAGACGACGTTTTACAAAGTGTGAGTACATGTAGCAGCTTTTAAATATCGTATGAAAATGAGAAATGTACACTCCATACGTGAGTGAAGTTGGTTGATTGATACTGAGGTGAGAATTTATAATTTCAAAACTGAAATCGTCTCGTTTTTCATAGACTCTGCTACTGAGATGACCACTTGAATCAAATTCGAGATATATATAAAAAAGAAGATGTGGTATGATTGCCAATGAGACAACTCTCGACAAGAGACCAAATGACACAGAAATTAACAACTATAGGTCACCGTACGGCCTTCAACAATGAGCAAAGCCCATACCATATGTCTAAAATGAAGCAGAGGAAGCTGTTTCTGTGGTTGCTTTAATCTCTAATTCAGGAGGATTTTTTAGTAGTACCCAATCAGTTTGGATTGTTTATAAAGATAACATCATTAATATACCTGTATGTGAGATTAAATGATCCATTTTCTTTGATTTTGTTTTTTACAAGTGTCTGAAAGAACTCTGATTCGTACAAGGTCGACAAGGAGAGACGTACAGTTGGTTCCGATAGGAATGCCGACAATTTGCTGGATAATTTTACCTCCATATTGAACAAATACGTTGTCAATGAGAAACTCCATCATACTGATTACATGTTCTTCTGTGTAGCACGTATTATCGTCGGGTTCATTTTTCACAAAATTTGAAGTATCTTATCCAAAAACAATTGTGTTATAGCGTATGTTACATTTTTTTATAAAACGAGACACGAAAACCAAAGAAAAAAAGACATTGTTTGAAATTGGCCCGACAGAAAAATGAGTCGACTCTAACTAAGTACTCACATTTTACACATAAGGGTGGGAAAAACAATGCACCAACTATTTTTCCATACAAAATAATCAAGAAGTCGTTGAGTGAGGGTTACATTTGATACAAAGATATTGATTCCTTGAGATTGAGACCTTAAAATGGATTCGGAAGATTCTGAACTAGAAGTGTGAAATCATTTGATACTAAAACTACTATTACGGAACGGATATTGTTTTTGCGTTTGGTGTGTTCTTGTAAAAATCGCAACGATACGTTTTGGCGCTTTATCAAAATTTGTTAATGTTTTCATATAAGAGAAATTACTAGTTTTTCATAATTATTCGAGAACATTTACTTATGCGTTATGTTCCATTCGAATATTGTTTGGTACAGTATATGAGCATGTGGCATTTTAAATGTATCCCAGGGTCTACAAAGCACCTGCATGACAAAATGAGCATCCATTACTAACAAGTTGGACACATCCACTCATAATAAGATGAATAAAAAAAGTAGACATCAGTTATTGTTATCAACTGTATACTAAACGTCCAAATCAAAACTTCAGATATAACATTTTGTGAATATATATAAATTATTTTTCGTACTACAATTGTGCTTGGTGTGTGATGCATGATGTAGGGTGTTTGTAGAATTGTGTTTGGAGTGTGGTGCATACTGTAGGGTGTTTGTAGAATTGTGTTTGGAGTGTGGTGCATACTGTACGGTGTTTGTAGAATTGTGTTTGGAGTGTGGTGCATACTGTAGGGTGTTTGTGGAATTGTGTTAGTTTAAAGATGTATAGTGTAATGGTGTATGGTGCATGGTGTAAAAATGTATGGTATAATTGAGAAGTTTACACAATTCAAGTACTGTTCCCCAGGTATTTTGGTTTATTTTACCTGAGGCCTATCTAGATCTGTTGAAAGGTTTAGTTTTCATGGTCTTTAATTTTGCTATTGATTTGACCTTTGTACTATTTAGAGTCGAGCACCACTGACGAGTCATATGTACTATATAATAAGCCTGGCATCTTTGATGGACTTTAAACACAACTGGGTCGATTCGTTCGATAGTAAACGTATCGTTTTGTAGGGTATCACTAACACAGCAGTCAACAAATTGGCTTTCAAGCGATCCAGTCCTGTTTAGTAGCTTGTCAGACAATTTAGCATTTTGTTGTTTTTACAGATAAATAACAACCACTAAACAAAGACTGAACAGATCTTAATTGACTGCAAGCACATTGTTTGAACAGTAGTGAATTTTTTCTCTGTGGATAGGTCTGAAAATTAATAATTTATTGTTGAGTCTTTTAATCAATGAAAATAACACATGACCTGTTCAGATTAGATTGACTGTTTCAGTTAGAATTTGGAAGGAAAAGTTGTCCTTTTTAGTTATCCGTCTATCTTATGAAGAAACCATTGAATACCAAACAAATCAGTATTACATAGATAAATAATTATTACAAGGAATTAGGTGCTTTTCATATCATTTGAAAATTCCGGGCCAATTCGACTGTTTATTTATAATGTGTTACCGTTATTGTGAATTGTGTGATTTCTGACCGAATTAAAAACTTTCCATTCCCTAATCATTGCATCGTAGCTTCGGTAATCAGGACTAGATATTTTGTTAATCAATTCATATCCTGATATAAAGAATGGCGTGAAGTTTTTATTATGTTCCAAAGAAATCTTAAGCAATCTTGCTAATATACCGATGTATGCATCTTCGATTCGAATTACCCTAGAAAATGGTATCCCTTCCCTAAGCGTTTTTATAACCTGCAAATTTGTGATCATTGTCCCACCAATTATGTATGGTGGCCAGACATCAAATTCATAGTCCGTTACAGATATATACCACTTTGATGACTTATTGCGATAAGGTTTTTCAAAGTTGGCTTTATATCCTATCATTTTCATTTCAAACTGGTGTAAATTGTTTAATGCTAGTTTTAAAAGATTTTTTGAATTAATTATCCGGTCATCGTCGACAAAATGGACATATTTCGTATTGATGTTTGAATCACATAACCAAGCAATAGAGAAGACTGTCTTATACACTAGATTGTCATATATATCCTGCATATCAAACTGCAATATATCACCATGAATTATGGATTCTGTCTCTATAAATGATTGTAGGGATTCGCTATATCCTAATATGAATATTGTTATTATACGTATATCTCCATCTTTGCCCCATGTCTCACGAATTGCCTTTCTTTGACTAAAATTTAACACAGCAGATTTGACGAGGTATATTATATCAACAGTAAGGCATGAGTTCGATTGGCATTGTTTCTGACGAGGATTTCTCAGCAGTCTATAAGATGAAGTTAAATTATTCAACGGCTGTGTTGAAGTTGTACCAGTTTTCTCAATCTCAGCTATAATACTACTAAGGTTGCTGTAAACGAAATCAAAGTGGTGAAATTCTTTTTTGTTATTTGCATTGAACAGATATATAATGATGACTGAAATGCAGATAAAGTAAAGTATATTCCTGAAAGAAAAAAAAAGATATCTTGTTATAATATATACAATTATGATCTCACGGGAAAAAGTGAAATTGAAAAGGACAATTTATTACAAATTCAAACAATTACAAAGTGAACGTATAGGGGGAGGGTTGAGATCTCATAAACATGTTTAACCCCGCCGCATTTTTGCGCCTGTCCCAAGTCAGGAGCCTCTAGCCTTTGTCAGTCTTGTATTATTTTTAATTTTAGTTTCTTGTGTACAATTTGGAGTTTAGTATGGCGTTCATTATCACTGAACTAGTATATATATTTGTTTAGGGGCCAGCTGAAGGACGCCTCCGGGTGCGGGAATTTCTCGCTGCATTGAAGACCTGTTGGTGACCTTCTGCTGTTGTCTGTTCTATGGTCGGGTTGTTGCCTCTTTGACACATTCCCCATGTCCATTCTCAATTTTATGTAGTTTTTGAAATTGAAAATAAATTAAAAAAAAGCATAAAATATTGATCCAAAGACCTGCATGCATGTGAACACCACAATTAAAATCTTGAGCAAATGCGCATATTTGATGCCACTTACTGTGTAATGTTACTTCTACATCTAAATTTTGTACATATATGCTTATGTTAAATAGGTACAAAGAGTCTATGGTGATACCAGGTGGTAGATTAAGAACACAAGGCGTGTGTTGGTTCAAATATATATGACTCACCAGTGCTACTCGAATTTAAGCAGAGTAACCAGTTAAATGTCAAAAAGCGTTTTTTCAATATTTAGTGTAGGACAGTCAATCAGTCATTCAGAAAGTAAAGTATTCCTTCTAAATAGAATTTACCAAAATGAAGCTTTACGATGTTCGGTGTTCTTTGAATTAAACGTTATCAGATATTTAGAGTCTTTAAGAGTAACTCAGACGTAATACGTACTTTTTGTTGCGTTGAATTTGATGTTTGATAAATACGAGATCGTAATGGAACATTGTAAGCTGCACACGTCAGTTATATTAAATTAATTATTAGGTTCATTTGATGTTTCAGGATGAGTGAGTTTAGATTTAAGAATATGTACAAAACTGTTGAAATGTACAACAATATTGTAAATTAAAATTGACACTATAATGTAAATAAGTTTAAATCGATTTCACGTATGTTCTGAGACCAACATTGATATTAAAGTTTATATAACTATGATAACCATTTAAATTAGGTCATGTTACATACATTAACATTTATTAATGTATGATTAAACCTTTGTGATTTGGCTTTTCGCTTGAATATAATACAAAAATTACTGTGTTTGAAAATTCTAAATGTATTTGCATGAGCTTTAGAAACAGAAAAAAAGCGAGGCTCGCCGACCTAGTTTCCTGTTTCGTTACCTCAGGCAAAGTTGAAATTATGTCATTGTGTCTATTCTTTTTATGTCTTTTTGGTCATATAGCTCATAACGTTTCTACGTATTTATGCATCCCTGGCTTTCAAATGTTTGGGTTGGCCCGTTACTGATGAAGGTAAATCTTGTAAAGCGCTTTAGACTTACACAATGTATATTATTATTATTTTTATTTTACAGTTCCTTTGTATGTTGTGAGGTAAGGGAGACAGTCCAGAGTGCTCAAAAACATTTTTATCCATTTCACATTCTCTAAGTGCTTGTATCAAGTCAGAACTGTAAGTCAATGGTTGTGGTCATTTCATATCTAATATATTTGTTTCTTATTTAATGTTTTGTTATCGCCGTTTTGAATTGGCATTCCAACTGTTTTCATGAAATTTGCATGACATTCTCCCATCTCTTCCATCCTATCCTTGGGCATATTTTAAGAATTTGGAAATTTTATTGTTTAATTTGGTTTCTGTTATTGATGGGAAAGTATCCATTACACATCATGAAAATAACCAACGATGTAAAATCTATAACCTGATGTAGGCATTGTGTAATTATGCGCATGATTTAGAAAAAAATAAACATCAAGTATCATGCTCTTTATTATTCTCTACGATCCTACAAAATGCTTTTTCTTTGATATAATAAAAATACCTGCATATTACTGTATCTTTTCCCTGTAAATTCAGCAGGGGCGTAGCTACCCGGAGGCATGACAGCACGTGCATCCACGTCGTTTTCACAAAAAAAAAAAAACAAAAAAAAAAAACAGAGAGAGAGAGAGAGAGAGAGAGGGACAAAGTAAACTTATAGGAATTAGTCTTTCTATGTATGCATTTTAAAAACTACACAAAGAATAAGAGCAAGAGGAATACATATGCAGCGAAATTTTAATCCTGTAAGACATGTATGTGTACGATAAATACATACAACTGGTGTAAACATGGCGGAACTTTTTATATTACGGACATTGTTTAGGAAAAAAAAACAGCTACATAGTTGTCGGTACCACCACCATAACGTATACTCGCCTTGAGTGCAAAAAAACAACATAATCCCTCTAGAGTTAACAAAAAAACTTGAAAATTATTATTTTCCGCTTCGCCCCAAAACACACATCTTACTAGAACGAAGACTTCAACTCGTATCGATCCGGGAATAATGACTGTTACCTTGTGAACTAGTTCAAAATTGACCAAGTATGTAGGTCTTGACAACACGAATACTTCATTTTCACAACACGTAAACGTATTCCCGTCCTGGTGTGCATGTAATATTTGCTACTGGACATTAATAACCATTCGATCAATCAATAGTTTCCGTAAACTAATAGATGAGAAGTTGGAACTGCTGTTATTATAAAGAAAGTACTCATTTTCCAGTACATGTATTACGTTTTTATTTATTTTACAAAAAAACATCTTGTATATAGATTCGATAATTCGAAGTCGTTTCTATATGGGCCGGCTATACGAATAGTTGATTGTAAAAGCATATACATAAATTGTTAATTCTAACTCGTTTTACTGGACTATTTGGTCATTAAATTTTATAATGAATTTTCTGTCCGAGTCGGACACTAAACTGCTGATTCTTGTTCGAAAGAAACACCAAACTTTTAATACACGTATCTTCACTGTTATCATCTAGATATTGCCATACAACTGGTCGAATGCACATGTATTTGTTAATTAGCTGGATAATTAACAAACACAGATCATGAAAAGATTGTGATCAAAGTACCATTCCCTCTGAAAAAGTTCATTAATTTCAACTTCGAGAATTCCTAACTGCGTAAAATTAGACATTCCTATCTCTCTCTTGCATGTAGAGTTTACCCACAGAATTTTTAAACATCTAAATCCATATGATCAGCAAAATATTTGAGAATGTGTCCACAAAGTATTTAGTATCCAAACATGTTTATTTTAACAGAAACTTCACATATAGTATTGTGTTTTGTTTATTGTTTTTTTTTTATTCATCTACTTTGCTCAATACAAATACTATGGAACAAATCTCCATGATTTTAAAAGCTCTCACGGCGTACAAAAAACGCAAACGACAATGTTTAGTCTTCATTCGACTCGAAGTTAAACAAATAGTTGACCAAAAAACAACAACAAAACTGTACAATTTTTATTACGGTTGTGATTGTTTTGAAACGCTAGAAATGCGGATCTTCCGGGGGGCTTCGTCCCCCTGGCCCCCCTAACCAGGGCTTTGCCCTAGACCCAGGGCTACTGGGGGCCTTAGGCGGCCCCCAGACCCCTCGCCCTTTAGTTTGTGATTCCACTTCATTAAGAAGGTAGATACGCCCTTGAATTGTGTATTATTTGATACAAAAAAAATATAGTTTTGACCTATTATGATTTACTTCTTGTAAGCAGGTCATTGATTTGATTGTCTCTGATTAGACTACGCAAATTTTGAGTTAGACATAATTGCACAAACACTTTTTTATTGTAGGATATTGCATGTTAACTTCTAGCCAACATATCATTTTATTATAGCACATAATATATATTTTCTACTAGTATGCGTCCAAATTTATTCATATTACACTTCGACGGCTTTGTTTTTGTGCCAAAAAATAACAGCTGATTAAGAATTGTTGTTTACACACATTACTTTTCGGAACAAAAGTTATGAAAATAGTTTATTTCGATAAGTTCGTTTTGCTTCTGTGTTATTATTCCGGAAGAAGTTTTAAACAGTTTGGATCAGCTGTTTTAAACATACAATGGCAATGCATGTCAATGTCATAGACAGCTAAGTTGAGTAAAAGAAAGGAAATGACCTAACAATTAGAGACTTCGTGTCATAGGTTGTGGGAAAAATGTTCGTCCATTTTGATATCAAAAGAGCAGAAAGGACAAAATTGATAACACTGAGCATACTATATTTCTCATTGGATAGGTCTCTTTCCCCTAAGACAATGTTCTCCTCGGGTCCTTATATCACCATGCATGGTACCATTTTTTAATATCATGGGACTATCTTAATATATTTTACAATAGAATGTTTAAAACATTTGGTGCAAAAATCAAAGTAAACAGTATTATAATTAAAACCCATGAATGTGTATTTTTAAAACGGAAAGTGTTCACGACAGAAAGTCAGTACATTTACACTCAAACGTCAATGGTAAAGAAACTACAATAAAGAAAGAAATGTACATCAGATGTATTAAAAATAAAGTAGAGGCCAAGAAATAGAGTTGTTAAGATAGAAATCATAAATGAAAAGTAAAATTTGCAATACTTAAAAAGTAATACACGAGATTATTATCAATTAAGCAAATGGAAAATATTATTGCTTAAAAAGTCAACGAATGTGTTTCAACAAAATTAACAAGAATTAAAGCAAAGCCTTTTGTAGTTTAGTGGTCCAAAAGGCCAAATATTCAAATGAATATAATTTAAAAGCTCCCAAGTTTTTTTAAGATTTAAAAAGATGTATTGAGGAAACGGTCCACAGTCTCATGTGTTGATAAAGTGCACTCAATGGATTTATAAATAGAAACGTGACGTACCAGATGTTTTTACGAAACAAACATAGACGGAAAAAGGTGATCAGATCATTCCCTAAAAATTTTACAATTGTGTTCACCAATTCCTTAAACATCAGTACAGATGAAGTGTTTACGCTTACCAAATAAAGGCAACAGTAGTATACCGCTGTTCAATAGTCATAAATTCATTAAGCGAAAACAAATCCGGGTTACAAACTAAAACCGAGGGAAATACATCAACTATAAGAGGAAAACAACGGAACAACAGAAACACTGAACTGCAACAAAAACAAACGCCAACATACAAAGAAACGGACTATTTGATAACAACTGCAATATTCCTGACTTGGTACAGGACATTTAAAAAAAAATGGTGGGTTGAACCTGGTTTCATGGCTAGCCAAACCTCCCGCTTATATGGCAATGTTAAACATACCGCTAAAATGACAACATTACGTGACAGGAATACAGTACAAATAAACGCAAGAACACTCAGTACAGAGAAATACATAAATAAATAATATAATAGTACATTACACCATGTAAACCACAGAATAACAACGGACACCTCCCATGAATTTACGACAGAACACCAGTACACCACAAACGAAGTATAAACTGCGCGTCACACGAATGTATCAACGCCACAAAAAGTGACGTATTTTTTTGACGTTTATATTATCACAGGTAAATTTCTAAAAATAGAATAGATTTGTTTTATTGTAGACACGTATAAGAATATAAATAGGGGAACAGTAGTATACCGCTGTTCAATAGTCATAAATTCATTAAGCGAAAACAAATCCGGGTTACAAACTAAAACCGAGGGAAACACATCAACTATAAGAGGAAAACAACGGAACAACAGAAACACTGAACTGCAACAAAAACAAACGCCAACATACATAGAAACGGACTATTTGATAACAACTGTCATATTCCTGACTTGGTACAGGACATTTTAAGAAAAAAAAATGGTGGGTTGAACCTGGTTTCATGGCTAGCCAAACCTCCCGCTTATATGGCAATGTTAAACATACCGCTAAAATGACAACATTACGTGACAGGAATACAGTACAAATAAACGCAAGAACACTCAGGACAGAGAAATACATAAATAAATAATATAATAGTACATTACACCATGTAAACCACAGAATAACAACAGACACCTCCCATGAATTTACGACAGAACACCAGTAAACCACAAACGAAGTATAAACTGCGCGTCACACGAATGTATCAACGCCACAAAAAGTGACGTATTTTTGTGACGTTTATATTATCACAGGTAAATTTCTAAAAATAGAATAGATTTGTTTTATTGTAGACACGTACAAGAATATAAAATTTGAATTTAGTTTGTAATGGTGTTATTTATGTATTTTCTACCATGACAAGAATATTAAAATGGAATTGTGTTTGTAATGGTTTTATTATTAGTATTTTCTAACCATGTTGGTTTTTCTTATAAATCAAAACTGTGTATACACAAAACAAAAAATAAAAAAATCCTGTGCATATAGTAGCTTTAAACTTAAAATCGTATAAATGTAATAGCTGATTTATTATCCTAACTTTTTCATACATATAGAAAATAAAAATAAAATAACTGTAATATAAGGCAAGATGATGTAAACCAAACAGTTAACACTTGAAAACAAACAACATAAAACAAAAACACTGTAGACGAACCACGAGTAACTCGACTATACTGACAAATAAGACATATGTGAAATGTACCGAAAATACAGAATTTATACCACAAACGATAAGACATAACACAATATCTAACAAGACTTACAAAAGAAACATCATAACTAAATACATGAAAGTTGGATGTATAAATACCGAGACACGTCGTATAGCAATGCGAATTCACACTCGGCAAAACAGTCATATTCGGGAATAGGTCACGTTCGGTACTTAGCAGACCAGACGACGTAGATGGTAAACCAAAATCTAAGACGTGGTAAAAATGTCTTTGTTAGTTTAGACACAGACACATCGTATAGATCAACCAATTCGTGATTGTGTCCATAAAATTTACGGAGTGTCATTTTTAATCTTTCCTCCTCATAACTCTGGCTTTTTTTTGCGTAAGGAGCACACTCCTGTATATGAAGTCTATCAAAGCTTTGCTTATCATCTACCGTAGATAGGATGTGTGCGTGTGTCATGGTGTCATTGATGTAGCCAATTAAATTATGGAACTTGTCCTTTGGTAGTATCCGTCTCTGGGGGTATTTAATTGTTCTTT